TGGTTACACAAACTTTGGACACTAATATCTCAGTGAATATCTAACCGAATTTAGATTTTTGACCACCATTAGGACCGAAAAGAACCAAAGAACAATTCTTTTCTAAGTGAGAATAAACAATAGCATAGTATCAAATACTTTAAAACGATACTTTTTCAAAAATTAAAAATTTGTATAGTTATTGAGAATAATATCTATGACTAGACGAGGAATTGCAACTTCACAAACACTACAACATATTGAAAACACTCAAGTATTGAAGGCACCTTCTTACAAAGACAATCTTGAGAAAGAAATTGATAAATTAATTGATTCAACTGAACAAACAGATAGTTCTTTCATCTTTACTATAAAAGATTTAAAGCTTGCTGACCTTTATTTTGCTTAACTCAAACAAGTTGAAGCTACTATTGACTTGTAAAAGTCTTTCTTTCTTATTCTTTTAATTGTTCCCTATGAGCCAAAGTGTAGACATTAGGAACCCTCTTTATAATTTATTTCTCTAATTTAGTATATTTAAGTTTTAATTTTAAATGATTTTTGATTTTACAAAGCATTTAACAAACATAATTAGACATCAAAAACAACATACTTTGAACCTACTTGTTGAACTAGATGATTCTTGTGATATCTGTTACTCTATTTTAACTCCTATATTATTTACCCCTTTTCATAATTTTATTACTTGGTATAGTAAATAATACCCTGCAGTAAACTTTACTGGCAAAACATTAGAATACTTTAATAATTTTAGAAATATTTATTTACAATTTGAATTATCTCAACACAAAAATTTTATTTTCAAGATAATATATAGTATTAGATACAACAACTCACCTGGTGATATTCATGAAATAATTAGAGAAATTGCAGTATTATTATTATATACTGATTGTTTTGAAAAAAACTCACTTCATTTATCTAAAGAAGAACTAGATAATACTGAACCTCTTGATCAACTCATAGAAAGAATACAACAAATCCCAAACGCTTATACTCAATTAAACCCTCTAGTAGAATTACCATTTTATAATAATCAGATAGATACTTCTGATTTATTATTTAATACTTCCTTATTGACAACCCTATACCCACCACCTTTAAACAATCCTCTTTTATTTATAAACCAAACAATGGCTACAACAACTGATGATATCATGAACTACCTTAAGGCAAATACCAGTGAATCCCTTCTGCTTAAAGTAGAGCCATTTACTGGTGATGGTACTTAGAACCCATATACTTGGATGGAATGCTTTGAGAAAGCTGCTGCTGCTAATAGATAGGATAGTAAAAGAAAAAGAGATATTCTTCCTGGTTTCTTATATAGAGTTGTTGATGAATGGCAAACAACTTTCTATGCAACTCAAAATACAGCAGTAACACCAAATTGGGGTGATCTCTAGACTGCTATTACAAATAACTTTAAACTTAACTTCTATACTCAATGATGGAAAAATAAATAACTACGTGAATTAGAAGCTATTAAACAAGAAACAGATGAAGCAATAGAATCATATTATAGTAGATTCAATAAATTAATCAAAAGATATAATATCACTAATGCTGCTCAACAGTTATATTACTTTAAAAAAGATATAAAACCTGAACTATTACCTATAATCATGTTGTATAATCCTCAAAATCTGAATGATACTCAACAATTAGTTCAACGATATGAACAAGAAAAAGACCTTGCTCAACAGATAGAACTAATCTCATCCTCAAGCAATAATACTTACAAATTAAAAAAGAATATTGAAGTATTGACTCAGCAAATGAAACAAATAAGCTTAAACTATACAACTATTGCATCTGCTCTTACTGAACCTCATGAAAAACCCAAACCCAAACCAATTAATTATTAATGAAACCAACCAAATAGAATTCAATCTCGATCAAAAATCATTTGTTATAATTGTGGTGAAGCAGGCCATATAGCCAGAAACTGTATGACTGAACATCAAACTACTACTAAACAATACAAACAATTAAAAAAAGATGCAATCAGAAATAGAAATATAAACTTCTTAGAAGCAGAAGATAATAGTGAAGATTATAAGGAAGAAATTTACATCGCTAAAAATCAAAGGTCTACTCTATATACTACTGATAGAAAGAAAGCTAAACATGTTATAAAAAATTCTGAATCTCAGAAAGAATTCAATCTACATAACAGAAAGATAACTCCTATTCAAATAGAAGAAGATACTACTATAGCAGATGTACCTAATGAAATACCTGAAGAAATACCAACTACAAAAGTAAATTGACCAAGAACTAAATATAAAACTCAACCCTTTGTAATTGATAAATTGAATCCTATGATATTTCTGTTGATATTTTAAATATGAAATCCTCAGCTACTCTAGCATAACTATTACAATACCCTAATTAACAAAGAAACCTTACTAAAATTATTCAGAAAAAGAAGGAACCTTTAACAGAAACAAATCTTATTGAATCAAAAAAATTCAAGAAAACTACAGCAATAAGATGTCATATTAGAATTAAAAGAAATCCTGTTCAAGCTATTCTTGACTTTAGAGCTGCTATTAGTATTATTACAGCAAGGCTAATAAAAAAACTAGGACTCAATATTCAAGGACTTTCAAGAACTATAGTTATGACTGCTAATAGTGAACATACTAAAGTATTAGGAGTAATTTCTAATGTAAAAGTTACTATTCAAGATATTATAATCCCTGTTGACTTACAAGTTATTGAGTCAATGGACGAAACTCTTCTTCTAGAAACAGACTGGTTTAATAAATCTAGAGCTAAATTAGATTTTGAAAATAATACCTTAACTGTACGATATCTAGGCAAAAGAGCTACTATTAATGCTACTCACACTAGTAGTTTAAATCCTATTTACCAAGAAATTGATAATGAAGATGATAATGATCAATGGATTGAAGAAATTGATGATGATGAATTTGAAATCTATTATATTGAGGAATGGGCTTCTGTTGTAGATGAATTATTCTATAATCTCTGGATTAATAGTGAAACTACACCTGCTTTTTATCTAATGCAGATATTAGAAAAAAAGATTTATACAATAGATGATTCTAAATTTAATATAAATAAAGAACTTACTAAAGAGCAACAAGAACAAGCAAGTCAATTCTTAACAAACAATATTGATATTTTCTTAGAAAATATCTTAGAAAAAAGGACAATCTAAGCAATTAGGGCAAACAAATATTATCTGTCATGAGATAAATACAGATAAAGCCAGACCTATTAAACAATGAGCATATCAATACCCTCCTAATGAGCAAGAATTTCTTCAAAAAGAAATTAAGGTAATAGAAGAAAAAGGAATTATTAGAGAATCTTATAGACCCTGGTCTTCTCCAGTAGTAATTGTACCAAAAAAGGATAGTAGAGAAAGACTTTGTATTGATTATAGAAAGCTTAACGCTGTTACAGAAAAAGATATTTATCCTTTACCTACAATTCAAGAAGTTTTAAGTTCATTTAATAGAGCTTCTTGGTTTACTAGCTTAGACTTGGCTAGTGGATATTAGCAGGTTGCTATAAAAGAAGAAGATTAAAAGAAAACTACATTTATTACTAAATTTGGAACATATGAGTTTAATGTTATATCTTTTGAACTCACAAATGCTCCTGCTACTTTTCAACACTTAATAGATCGAATTCTTTGCCCATATATCAACAAATTTGTAGTTATATATTTAGATAATATAACTATATATTCACTAATCTTCGAACAACACCTTAAGCATGTACAACAAATATTTACTATTCTTTATATTGATCTAGAGATCTTTCTACATCAGGACTATACTCCCAAATACACAAATACTCAAGCTATAACTTCTCCTACTGCAATCGACGAAACACAAGCCCTCTCACTAAAAATTCACTCTCTCAACACAAATAGCCTTCTAGAAAATTACAAACAACTAAGTCTAATTGATTACATTACAGAAAATCAAATAGATATTTTTGGTATCTCAGAAACTCACCTTAATACAAAAGAATCAAAATTTTCAACATTATCAAAAGAGCTTACTAATTATCAAAAATTCTGGGCACCCTGTGAATGTAGGCAATGGGGTGTTGGAATTATAATCAATAATCAACTTGCTAAATACATTGGGAAAATCTAGACCTTCAAAAACTTCATCCTTGAAATAGATCTTTATTTCAAAAATAACCATATCAAACTCATTCAAATATATTTTCCAACACAGGAAAAGAAACAATCATATAAAGAAATCCTTACCTATCTTATTCCAATTATCAAATCAACAAACTACAAAATTATAATTATAGGAGACCTAAATAGTACACCAAACCCTAAACTGGATAGACTTCCAACTAAAAAATACAGTATTTCAGAAAACCAACTTCTTCAAATTCTTAAACATCACAAGTTCTATGATACTTTTCACTTATTTCACCCTACTACTCTAAAATTCACATACTCTCACAATAACAGTACTAGTAGAATTGCCCAAATATGAACAAATATTTATATTACTCTCCTTGACTATGTAGACATCCTTCCAAATCTACTCTCCAACTCAGACCACTCAACTATTGTTCTTGAAACAACAATTATCATTAACAAACCTCTCATACTAAACCCCTATACAAGAACTGTCTTCAAATAGAACTCCACTCAAGCAATACAAATCAAAAAATATCAACAACATACAGAAAAAAACTTTACTAGTCTCCTTACTCCTATAAACCAAATCTCAAATACCAATGACCTTAACAATATATAGTATCAAATCAAAAAATATATCAACAAAGCAATACTCAAATACATACTATTTAAAAAAATCAAAATAAATCCAAATTCAAATAATTGCTCAAAACCTACTTTATTTCCTCTTTACAAACAACTAAAAAATATTTTCTTAATAAAAAATCTTTTTACTAACTCAGATATTACTTTACTTTATGACTCTTACATTAAAAAATATTCAAACAATACTCTTTTACCCAAATTATATCAACTCTTTCTTAAGCAAATCCAAACCCAAATCTATTCCAATACTCCTTAAAAGCGAAATCAAAAACCTAAAAATTCTTATACAAAAAGAAAAAAAGGACCAAACCCTTCTAGAAATTCAAAACAAACTTGATGAAAGGAATACTAATTTTACTCAAAACCCAAAACTCTTCTTTTCAAAACTCTTAAAAAATCTAATAACAGTATTAAATTAGATCGTCTCCTATCTAATGACAATTTAACTACTCAACTAACTGAAATTAAAACAGCTCTAAATGAACACTTCTCTAAATATTTTCAAGAACTTCCTTACTCTTTAATAGAATCAAACTCACCTTTCTTCGATATCTATAAGCTATATCCCAAAAATGAACATCTCTTCTACAACCTTTTATCTGAAATTACATCTGAAGAATGATCAAAAGTACTGAAAGAGCTTCCAAATAATAAAGCTGCAGGACCATCTGAAACAAATTATGAATATATCAAAATGCTAAACTCCAAAGGCCAAAATATCATCCGCTCTTCCTCTCAAAATGTTTTCTTTTACAAAGCATTCCAACAGAATAGAAAATATCAAATCTCTTCCTGATCCCAAAAAAATCCTCCTGGGATTATACTCTTGATCAAGTTCGACCAATATCCTTAATTGAACCAATAAAAAAATGCCTAACTAAAATCTTCACCACTCGTCTCGACCAAATTATAAACAAACACCACTTGCTAAGTGATCTAAACTTTGCAGCAACAAAAAATACCTCAACACATACACCAATTCAAATCCTCTTTAATACCATTGAAAACTACAAAGCAAACAACAAAGAGGCATAGATCCTGTTTCAGGACATGTCTAAGGCCTTTGACAAAATCAATATCAAACGCTTTATTGATGCTTGCAAAAGAATAGGCATCCCTCAAAATGCTCTTAACTTTATTCAATTTCTACACCAAGATAGGAAAGCCAGAACAATCTCTGCATATGGATCTACTGACCCATTACTCTTTATTCAGGCATTGAACAAGGTGAAACCTTCTCTCCACTTCTCTGGAAAATCTACTATGATCCTATACTCAGCTATATAAACAACAAATACAAATCTAAATTTTTCAAAATCACAACCAATTTACCACTCGAGAAAGTTTTTTCATCCCACACTACATCTATTACAATACCTTCTCTTGCATTCATAGATGACACAGTTTGGTACTATGAATCCAAAACAGACCTTCAAGAGATTCTTCAAGATGTTTCAGATCTATATCAACTAAATAATATTCAAATCAATTCTCTAAAATCAGATCTCCTCCATATTTCAAAATCCAAAACAAAAAATTCTCAATCAAATAATACTCTACCAAACCAACCCATAACCTTCAAAAATCAACCTATTCTACCACGTAAACCAAGTGAAACAATTAGATATCTTGGCATATTCCTGGATGAAAATGGTTCATCCAAACTAACAATAAACATAATCACTAACAAAATTAACCAATTTACTCATCTTATTCAATACAAAAAACTTCTTCCAATCCACA